TAAGGTCCCTTCCAACAAAACCCTTCCATGATTCTATGATCCTTATGAAACAGCTGGGCTGTAACTGAAGAGCGGTCCAGACACCCAGTCGGTTCTTTCTGTCCTTTGGTAACATCATCTGCCCTCATAAAAAGACAGCACACCCAGGTTAAAAACCAGACTACAAGACCAAAACCCTTCTCTTCCTATACCAAAGCAGCCCAATAAGCAGCCATAAAAGAGCAAACCAAGGCACGCACACCAAGATTCAGAGAAAGCTTTGGGTTGCTTCATCAGTAACTCATGCTGATCTCTGACAATCCACCATCCAGCTTCAGCCAGGTAAAACTACCGCAGAAATCCAGAGAGAGCAATTGGGCCTCTGCCACAGCACAGCACGCAGCAATGACCAAAAAGGACCAGTGCAATAGAGGGTATTGAGAAGCACCACAGCACAAGGAGCTGCTCAACAGAAGAATAAACTTGGAAAGAAAAGAAAGTGGTTTGTCATGAGGGATTATAACAGCCCATAATAAACAGCCCAGTTCATCAAATAAACAAAGCAAAACCCCATCCTGCAAGATGCTTGGGGAATTCTTTGGGAGGAAGTGCAAGCTCTCTGATTTCAGTGCATTCCATCAGTGGTGAGAAGCTCCAGCTCCCATGAGGGAATATTAGAATCATGGAATCATAGAATAGTTAGGGTTGGAAAGGACCTTAAGATCATCCAGTTCCAACCCCCCTGACATGGGCAGGGACACCTCACACTAAACCAGGTCACCCAAGGCTCTGTCCAACCTGGTCTTGAACACTGCCAGGGATGGAGCATTCACAACCTCCCTGGGCAACCCATTCCAGTGCCTCACCACCCTCACAGGAAAGAATTTCTTCCTTATACCCAATCTAAACTTCCCCTGTTTCAGTTTTAACCCGTTACCCCTTGTTCTATCACTACAGTCCCTAATGAAGAGTCCCTCCCCAGCATCCCTATAGGCCCCCTTCAGATACTGGAAGCTGCTCTGAGGTCTCCACGCAGCCTCTCTTCTCCAGGCTGAACAGCCCCAACTTCCTCAGCCTGTCTCCATACGGGAGGTGCTCCAGTCCCCTGATCATCCTCGTGGCCTCCTCTGGACTTGTTCCAACAGTTCCATGTCCTTTTTATGTTGAGGACACCAGAACTGCACACAGTGCTCCAGGTGAGGTCTCACGAGAGCAGAGTAGAGGGGCAGGATCACCTCCTTTGACCTGCTGGTCACGCTCCTTTGGATGCAGCCCAGGATACAGTTGGCTTTCTGGGCTGCAAGCGCACACTGAAGCCGGCTCATGTTCATGAACATCCTGACGCACGGAAGATGAGCACAGCACATGGTTTAACACCCGGAACACAAACAGCAGGGTGCAGGCACTCCTGTGATTCACCAGTGCTCTTAGAGAGACTTCCAAAAGTCACTTCCGAAAAATAAAAGCTCCTTCATGTAACTCCTAAGGCCTTCCCAGCTCCTGTGGCTCAGGAATAAACTGTCAGCGTCTTCTGCTCTGGGTTCAGAAATGACACCTCAGCGCTGCAAGGACTGCATCTTGCAAGGAGTCCCAGTTCAGCACTTTAGGTTCTACAGGAAAAGCCTTTGGACACAGATCTGTGGTTTGAGGAACGTGCACTGCTCCTAAAAGTGGCAGAAGGGTGGAGGCTGGCAACGATAAACCGCGAGCTCCGGTAGAGTCATTTAAAAGCAGCGTCTTCTCCCCAGCTCTACCAGATCCCAAATTAGAAGCAGTTCTGGCAGCAATTTGTCTGCTGCTTGTGAAGCAAAAGGGAAGCGACTTGCTAAAACTCAGCTGAAAGGTTTTTGCACCCATCCCATGTTCAACCACAGCCCTTCATTCACAAAACCACACAAATGTCTCCATTGGGCTGCATGTGATAAGACTCTCAGAGGAATTACCATAAGCAGCTACTGTTGGCAACTGTCAACAGAGAATCAGTGCTGATCTTATCTGGATTGTACCTATGGACGTGCTCAGCACGATGAGCAAGATGCACTGGATAGGAGCAGCCACGTCAGCACCATCATTCCAAGTCCTCCAGTTCCATGCTGCACGCTCCACGGTGCAACTCGTTGCCATGAAATATTCACATGAAACTCAATCATATGGCATCATTAATATAGAATCATAGAATAGTTAGGGTTGGAAAGGACCTTGAGATCATCTAGTTCCACAGTTTAGCACAGATTTCCAATTGAAACCCACACTATGTGCCCGAGTCTGGGTTTTCAAACCAGTATGGCTGCACAAAACCGCCATGCAGATTCAGGCCCTTCTGTTTCTAACAACACACGAACTTCTCCAGAGCAAGCAGCTATTTCAGCTCTGCAGCACTAATGCTTTCTCTCTGCATAATGCTGATTATCAAACCAGGACAGACAGGCAGAACGGATCCTGACGGACGCCTAAGGCAGGGAAGTTAACCCAAAACTCAGTATAAGCGAACCTCTGTCACATTATGCAGCCTCAGGGTACAGACTCATGACTTAACTAAATATACTTTTCCTCCAGACTATCTCCTACAAACTATCGCTCCATGTTAATCATGCTTCTGAAGAGCATCTCACAGAGCACAGAATTTAATAAGACAACCCAGGAGCTTATGACACCAACCATCACGCAATGCAGTTTGACAGGAAAGGCTCGGAGCCTGTTTCCAGTCAGAATGACCTTTTCCAGGATTTGTATAGATCCTTGCATGTATTTACTACAAAACACAACAGCAACAGGATAATGAGATGCCAGAACTGAAGACAGGGCTGATGATACAACGAGCAACAACTCTAATCCTGCATTAAGAGTTACACATGAAGATGAGCAGGACTGAAGCTTTGAGCATGCACACTTTGATGACGGCAGAATGGAGAAGCCTTAGAAATAGGAAGAAGTGGAATTAAAATAATAGGAGAATGGTTATGGTTGGAAGGGACCTTAAAGATATCTACTGCCAACCCCACTGCCATAGGCAGGGACACCTTCCACTAAAGCAGGGTGCCCAGAGCAAAAGGAGGTGACACAAGCTAAAACAGTCATCAAAACTACAGCTGGAAAAGGAGCAGCTTGGAGAGGAACACAGCAGAATTCTTGCTGCTGGAAGTAGGAAGGCAATTCAGCTGCTGGGAGTAAAAAGGCAATTCAGTCAACTTGTTCCAAGATGAAACCACATGGGAAACAAGTGAGACATGGAAGCCTGCAGGATGGACACCGAATGGGTCCTCAAAGTAGGCAGCTGCTCCTCAGCTATCCATTGCTGCAGGGAAGTGGATTCCATGACCCTGAGTGCTCCATCCAGTCCTACACCGCTAATAGCAGGGGTCCCTCCCTATTGCCTAATACTGGATTATGCAAAAGACCATAGAGAACTGCCAAGTCAGGGCTTCCCATTATCATTCCACACCCCTACAGAGATTGCTGCAATAAAGCATTAGCCCTGGACACACCACTCTCATTAACCCCTCCTCCTTCGCGCTCATTCACCATTAAGGCTGGGCTCACAGCTGACAAAGCCAGCCTTCTGGTCTCCTTGCACTCACACTGAGGGAAAGGACAGGAGTTCCAGCCCTTTTTGATCCCCAGTGACTCTGGCACAGCCAGATCTCCTTCAAGATGAACTTTCAGCCTGCAGCGAAGTCATTCTTCTAAGCCAGGGGTCAGCTGAGTCCTGGAGATCCCTTTTGAGATGGTACTAGCTCTAAGGACACATTTGTGCTGTACAGGAGTGAGCTTTAATGCATTACACTGGACACAGAGCAGCACATGAGAAAACTCTACAGGACCCTGCTCCAAAACAAGAGAAGAACTCTTGTAAACTCAGGACACTTGCACAGAGCATCAAATTCAGGGCATGCTTCCAGGACTGCCTGACCTAATCAACCCCCTCAGAAGAAAACAGGATGCTGTGATATTTGTTTCCTAAGTCGACTGCTGCAAAAGAAAGTTCTATGACCCAAAGCCACAACCCAAAGCAAAGGAACGCTTCCAGCCTGAAAATGTGTTGGGTGAACTCTTGGAACGTTTACCACCGCGATGAAGAGGTTTTGAAGGTTCCTGGTCAGCCATGCAGGAAAATCTGATTCAGAAAGGGTGATTCTGACAACGTGGCCTGCATTTCAGCCACTGCTGAAAGTGGACTGTAAACCTGTAAGTGAGTATGTATTGCTGAGGACCAGCTACATTCACTTGTCACGTTAACATTTAAATACCTCTGAAGAGTAGATGAGCCACTGTGGGCCCACTCTCAAGAGTGACAAAACCACAACAAAACAGTGATGGAGCTTGCAAAGAGCTCTTCATCGAATCATAGAATAATTCGGGTTGGAAAGGACCTGAAGATCATCCAGTTCCAACCCCCCTGCCATGGGCAGGGACAACTCACACTAAACCAGGTCACCCAAGGCCTTGTCCAACCTGGCCTTGAACACTGCCAGGGATGGAGCATTCACAACCTCCCTGGGCAACCCATTCCAGTGCCTCACCACCCTCACAGCAAAGAATTTCCTCCTTAGATCCAATCTAAACTTCCCCTGTTTAAGTTTGAACCTGTTACCCCTTGTCCTGTCACTACAGTCCCTAATGAAGAGTCCCTCCCCAGCATCCTTATAGGCTCCCTTCAGATACTGGAAGGCTGCTCTGAGGTCTCCACGGAGCCTTCTCTTCTCCAGGCTTGCCCAGCCATGGAGAGAACCACGCATGCACATGGGATCTAATGCAAAGCCCAGGCTCTTCTGGGATAAAACAACCAGCATCTAGCTGAGTGAGTCCCTTGTCCTACAAAGATTCGGCAGGAACACAAATTCCTACCTACACCAACTGATTTGCAAGATAGAGACCTCCAAAATCAGCAGGTTTTGCATGGAATTGCTTTCCTTAGGGCCATTTAAGTCAACAACCTGTCAATGCTGCAACTTCTTTCCAAATGGTGATCAAAATAACCCTGCACCCTTTCTTTGGTTCTCCACGTTCCACGCGTTACTTACGGTTGTATGATGAGAGACGCTGCCTCCAATATTGAGGTTCTTGAGAAGCTGGGGAGAGCCTCCATACTGCCCCGAGATCTGCTTCCTGACTTCAGCAGCTACGGTTCTGAAAGGAGACAGGGACAACGTTATCACTGCAAAAGAATGACAGTGAAGAGGGTGTATTAAATATGCTTTACACTGCTGCTGGAACGGAACCAAATGCTTGGTATGCTGGCTGGTGTAAGTGTCACCAGCCAGTGAGAACAGACCCCGTACATTAAATAACCAGAGAACCACAAAACTCTCACAAGGCTGCACATACACATTCTTCACAGCAATCGCGTTCTCTTTCCTTCTGTGAACTGCTCTTTCATGCACACCTGTGGCAACAAAATGCCTGTGACCCTGAACACACATAAACTGGTTCCCAGCAGGCTCTTTCCAGTTCCTACCAAGCAAAGCTCTCCTCCAGTGCTCTCCACATCCCTCAGCAGTTCCAAGCCTGGTCACACATCTGCTCCTGTCTTCCACTCTCTCATCTGAATCCCTGGGTGTTTCATTTCTGGGGTTTGCAGTCACAGAGATAAGGACCAGCAGACCCTTTCCACCCAATATCCAACCCCTTCAACACCCAGCTCAGGGCCAGAAGAGCAATCCCAAGCAGGATGGGTTGAAACGTCCAGGGAATGACACACAGAAAACAACCAACTGGGTCAGAACAAAACCCTATTTCCCCTTCCACATAAGAAAGGCAGCAGTGGGGCTGTAGTGACAAGCAGAGGGGACACACAACACACTGGCTAGCAGGGCACAGCCTTGTGGTCTCTGCCAGAGAAGAATCCCACCTCTGGGCAGCTTTCCTCTACACGAAGGAAAACCATAGATCAACCTTTCCATGCCTGGAGGGTAAAACCCACACTGCACCCCTCCGGGGTCTTCTCTTTCCCTCAGTAAGTCCCATTGTCACTGGTAAGCCTGAAGACACAGCAGTTGGGTAAACCCACCAAGGGAGTAAAGGAAGAGCACAGGGGAGGGAAACACTCATTGTCAAAGACTGCATGAACAAACAGCCATGGGTCAAGCCTTAACACAACCACCCGCCTTGTAACCCAGCAGTGGGCTCCAGCTCAGCAATGGAACTGGGATAACCAAGGATTTGAGTATGGTAGAAATGGTTTTGTTTCAAAAGCAAACAAAAAACCCAGACTCTTTCACCAAAATACCCCATTTTGTTGAAAAGCTGCTGATTACCCCCGGTCTACAGGACCTCACCAACACAAGAGTGAGAAATCCACTCCCAACTGTTATTCACCACTATGTTGTTATGTGTTATAACGTGTTATGGCAGCACTGCAGCCTGCTCTGTCCCCCAGAACTAAGTCCCAGCTCCAAAGAGATGCTAAGCAGTGTGTAAGAGATGCAGAGGCTGCAAGGACATGGGTGATTTTCCTCCTGCTGTGTCAGCAGTCTCTGTGGGAACAGCACCATGACTAACTGACGGCACTCAGGGCAACCTACTGCATATCAGTGTGGCACATGAGCTGCTCAAATCATGGAACCAGTGAATGGTTTGGGTTGGAAGGGACCTTAAAGCTCATCCAGTTCCAATCCCCTGCCACGGGCAGGGACCCCTTCCACTGGACTACTGCCTGTCCAATAAAGATGGTTAAACTTCCCTGAGCAAAACCTTGGCATCAGGATGGGCTCCTCACTTCAGGACTGCTGTGACAGTGAACACTGGGGGCAAGTGGAGCCAACTGATGTCAATGGAAGCAAAGGGAACTCTAAAAGGGAACTAGCTGGGACAACCGAGCCTACCATGGAGCGCAGATGTTTCCTCAGGCCAGAGGGTGGGAGGAAGAGTAGCCAGAGGAAGCTTTATTTTGTCTTCTACAGAAGTGGACTGCAGAAGGAAAAACAAAACTAAGAGTTCCATGTATTCTGGCTGCAAGAAGTCATTTCCTTCGGGTTTGCCTTTATCCACAGGGGACCATGTCTTCGCTTCCTGCTGAGGATGGACAGCGTTCAGGCTGCTGGAGCACCCTTGGGAAACCCATCTTCCTTGCTCCCCCCATGCGCAGCACACACTCACACACACACACACACATGTGAGATCAAACCACACAAGCTGCTGGCAGTTATAGGAAGATCTGGGATGGATTAAAACAGCTGCTTGGTATGGAAACGCATCCATGGCTCAGGAGATTTAAAAGCTTGGCCCCAGGACACAGGCAATCTCTGCTTTAAAGCCAATCTCTTACTCAGTTTGGTGTAATGCCTGACGCGAAAGAGCTTATTGTCAGGGATTCAGCCCCTCGCTCGCTTAGGCAATGCCCAGCCATGCTACTCGGCACTGCTCCTCTTGTATGAACCCGAGGTGTGCTTTGTGACAGGCTCCACTGGGGCTCTCAGTCCCTTCTGTACGTTGGTCTCAGCTGGGCAGCTCTGCAGTGCCTGGGAGCTGTGCTGTGTTTGGGGCACAGCTCATAAATACACCCTTGACTCCAGCGACAACTGTGCTTTAGCCAGCCTGAAGTGGAAGCAGGCTTGGCTGCAACCACTGTCAGTAGCATGGGGCTTGGAGCAAGCTGCTCTAGTGGAAGGTGTCGCTGCCCGTGGCAGTGGGTTGGGACTGGATGAGCTTTATAAGGTCCCTTCCCACACAAACCAGTCTGGGATTCTATGACCCTGTATTCACCAACGTTTTGAAGACCACCTCCCCTCATAGAAAAGCACTATTCTTCTGACATTTAGAAACCATCTTCCAATGTAATCTAATCACCAACTGTATTTTTGGGTAACCTATACCCATTTGGGTTTGTTCCAACATCACCACTTAGGTTCAACAGCTCTCTTCCCACTCCTTCCTACTCACAAGGTGTTCACAAGAATTAGTTGGATTCCCCCCCCCCCCCAACCTTCCTTCTACAAGGCTAAGCAAGGTCAGACCCTGCAACAGGCTTCCTGCTCCCCTGGTCACCCTAATGGCTCTTCTCCACACTTGCTCCAGTTGGCAATCACGCCTTTAGCACCCTGTTTCCTCCTATCATTCACTCCAAATACAGCCAGAGCAGGGCTTTGGAGAACCAAATGTGTATTTTCCTATTGAGAAAAGCACCCCAGCTGACTACTTTTAGGGCTGTTTTCTCACTTCTTCATCACAGAAGTTCACAGTTTCCCCAAAGCTGATAAGACACTTGCCTTCTCCTCCTCCATTTCCAAAAGCTGTTTGTCCATGACAAATGCCATCTATTCTAGTAAGACCATGTTATATTATAAACCTGGAGCACCATTTTTAACTAGAAGCTATGCTTCCTAAACCAACTCCAATTAAAAAGTGGATTGCACCAAACCCAACCAGGGAAGAGAAATAAATCCCACAATAGTCTCCCAATGGAAAAAATAAATCCAGTTGGCAGGACAGAAGAGTCATTACAGCTCCTGATCATTAAAAGGACAAATGAAAAACTGCCTCTTTAATAACTGCCTTATATTCAACATGTAACCCGGGATCCTTAGACAAACACTGCAGTTAATTACAGCCCACAGCCTCATGAATGTCTATGTTTAAAGTACATCTTCCTCAGTCGCTTCCTTTCTGACCTTCTTCACCGGTTAATTATTGTGTGCGCACGAGGTTCACACAAAGGAAAAAGACAAAGGAGGAAAAACAAGCCCCTTGGAACTGGCTTCTAAAGCAAAACAGGACCCGCCATTCTCAAAGTACTCCGAGCTGCAAATAACAAACTGAAACCATTTGCTTGCACTTCCATGTTTCTTCACTACACACAACAATCACTTCTGTTTCTACGTGGCCTACCCAGTCAAAACCAAAAGGTGATGCTTTTTTAGTTCTCTTTTAGCTTAAGCAGCATCCCGGAGACATCAGGTCTTCATTTTGCCTTCCTGAGGGTCACCAAGGCTTGTCCAGGTGGGTCAGGACACAGTCATCTAGCTCATCTGCTGCAGTGATTGGAGGAAGTCTCTCTTCTCCACAGCCCTCCCCACTCTGACAGAGCAGTGCAAAGGGGTCATTTCTGCCCATGCCTCTCATCACAAAACTGTTACTCCAGCCTGTTCTTCATCTCATGGGTCACGTGCAGTGACTCTACACCCGGAGAGCCTCTGCCTCTTGAGAAAGACAGCCTGGTACAGTGAGGCATCTGTGCCAAGCCATAGCATAGCTGCTTGTTCTCCGTCAGCAGCAGAGAAATCTCTATTTACATGGTTTAGTTTTTAAAGTGAAAGCATCCCGTTTGTTCAGCCAGCTCCCTTGTGTACAGCTTTGCACATGGCTGCAGGTGTCTCTCCTACTATACTTGCTATGCTTGGATGGGGATCTCCAAATCCAAATGGCACTGGCTGGTTGTCTGTCCTGCTGAGCAGTTGAGATGAGCTGTTGGGATGTCCCTACCTGCTCCCCCTGGGCTCTCCTGCCAGCAGGTCTGCTCCATCCATGAGCTGAGTCACCAGGGATGCACTGCGGTGGATGAGGGAGAGCTCTGGCCCTGCCAGTTCAGCCGTGCCCTGGATGCAGCCTTCCTCCCAAACCAGAGCTCCTGCTTCCTGTGGAGTGAACTCCTTCCCCTCTGAGTGAAATGGGTTTGATTTACAGCGTGACACTGAGGAAATACCCAGCCTGATCCTGACTGCTGCAGGGTAAATGTAGGTTCTTAACTTAACACAGATGAACAACATATTCCCTTTCCCCTTACCATTGATTAAAACCGAAAACACCATATAACACTGCCTGTGGTGCTCTTCTGATCATATTTGATTACTGAGGCTGAAAGCACCACCACTGGGCTGCAGTGAAAGGAGTGAGTCCCAAGACACCTTACTGTGAAAATAACCACAGGATGGGATTCTCCAGGAGAGATCAAAGTCACATCTCACACTAAGAACCCCGACCAAACGAGGAAGCCTTGTAAACAGCAGCAGCTCTGTAGGGATGAACTGTGCTCCCTGCCTTCCCGCTCGCCTTAAGCCGACAGAGATTTTCCTAGGAGAAGTCAGTGCTGCTGCCTCCTGCACAAGGCACCCACATCAGTTGAGCAGGAAAAAGCTGCTCTGAAGCTTATTAAAAACAGCTTCTGTTATCTGTGACAGTGTTTTGACAATGCA